GAACCCTCGGCGGGAGCGCCGCTGCGCTCCCAAACGGTGCACTGTAGCAGTGCGCCACCGGGCCGGCCTTTTAGCCAAAAATCTTAATCTTTGCACTCTAAAGTACAGCACCCTCCTGCAATATGTGGATGACCTCCTTCTTTGCAGCCCCTCAGTATCCTCTTCCCAAGAGGATACTGCCACCCTTCTCAATTTCCTTGGGTCTAGGGGTTATCAGGTCACTCCTTCCAAGGCTCAACTTTGCACCCCCACAGTTACCCAGGCATATCCCTAACCCCCACTTCTAAGTCTCTTACAGGGGACCGTATCCGCCTCCTCCAGGATCTCCAACCTCCCCAGAGTGCTGATAACATCCTCTCCTTTTGGAGCCTTGTGTGTTTCTTCTGACAGTGGGTCCCCAACTTTGCCCTCCTAGCGTGACCCTTATACAAGGCAGCTAAGGACACCCCGCAGGGACCATTAACTGACCCCGCCACTATTAAACACCTTTTCTCTAGGCTATGGGATTGTCCACTGCAGGACCCACTCTGGCTCTCCCAGACCCTTCAAAGCCCTTTCACCTATTTACAGATGAGGGTTCTGGCTTGGCTACCGGCCTCCTGGCCCAGCCTGCAGGACCGACCTGTCGGGCAGTGGCATACCTATCAAAACAGCTCGATGTCACGGTTCAGAGATGGCAGCCATGTCTCAGGGCGTTAGCAGTTGCTGCCTCCCTGACCAAGGAAGCTCTCAAGCTTACTTTGGGCCAACCCCTCACTGTCTTTTCCTCCCATCGCTTTGGGGACCTGCTCAGCCACAAGTCCCTCGCCCATTTGACTCCTTACACAATCCAGCTGTACCACCTGCTTTTCATCGAAAATCCTCAGATTTCTTTATCCACCTCCCCCCGCTTAACCCCCCCCCCTCCGACCCTTCTGCCTACTCCCTCCACTACTCCCGACCCTTTACATTCCTGTCCTCAACTTTTAGAGGATTTTATTCCTTCACATCCAGGGCTCTCTGACCAGCCCCTATCTAATCCTGACCATGTGCTTTTCGTAAATGGTAGTTCTTTCATTGCCCCAGATGGCCAAAGGCATGCAGCCTATGCTGTCATTACTCTAGATGCCACCTTAGAGGCTGTACCCCTTCCCCTCAGAATAACCTCTCAAAGGTGGAGCTGATAGCCCTCACTTGGGCCCTCCACCTGTCCAAGGGACAACAGGTCACTATATACACAGATTCCAGACATGCTTTCCTCATCACCCATACTCACTCTGTCCTCTGGCAAGAACAAGGATTCCTCGCTACTAAAGGGACCCCAATAATCAATAGGCCCCTCATCTCAAAGTTACTCAAGGCCCTTAGCCTCCCAACTGAGACGGCTATTGTTCACTGCCAGGGCCACCAGTCCTCTAAAGACCC